GCAGGAAGGCCCTTCCTAACGTGGAAAGGATGCTGAGGGACCGTCAACCACAGGTATCTCTCATCGGCTACTGGAAACTCCGATTCGAAAGTTCTGGTAACACTCTTGATCAAAAATTGTTGTATACATACAGACTTGGGGTGACCTTCCAGGGCTGAAGCTTTCAGGGACAGATCCAGGCCTTTTAGCTTAGTTACATCTCTGAAAGGGACCAGTAGTGTGACATAGCTAAGGAAAAGTGACGCAGATGTTGGCTGCAATGCAGGTGAGACTCCCCAGCTTGCAGGAGGGGCCTAGCCCTCTGCTCTCTCCGTCCATCTGTCCCTATCAGGTATGCGGTGTCCTTACATGTCCCGTGTTTCAAAAGGACCCTGGCAACTGGAGCAAATAAAAGGGGAGTCGAGGGGAAGCTGAAGGCTGGGGCTGGGGGCTGGGGAACCATGTCCTCGTGAATCTGAGAGGCTGACCACAGGAAGCTGGGGAGCTGGTTCTGATGAGCGCCAAGACTGAACAAAGGCCAGTGGGTGGAGGTTAGCAGGAGACGTCAAATTCAGCACAAAGTGGCCCTTCACAGTTCACAGCCCCCCACCGTGGCAAATGAAGGCCGACATTACCTTCCAATTTCAGACCAGGAAACCAAAGTCCTGAGGAACCGTTCATTTAGCACAGACGCTCCCACATAACGTTTGGCTAAAATCCCAGGTTTAGGCCGCAGGAAGAAGGATGGTGAGACGGAGAGGCTGGCCACTGCCTAAGGACCTACGTATCCCTCACCCACTCAAGGGAGACGAGCAGGTGCAGCTCACACAGCTGCGCACGGGGAATGTTTGCCCTCTGCCTGGTCTTTCGTGAGCTGTGATGGAGCCACTGTCCACTTGCAGCCTGCATACAAGTGCCAAGCCAGACTCTCCCCAGGCGGTCCCAGGCCTTGTCTCTTTTTGTTCTTATTTATTGATTGGCTGGTGATACTGCTCCCATGTGGCTACAGGTGTGAACACGGGCGGGAGGCTGGGGCAACCAGCTGCTGACGGGGCGTCCCAGGCCACCTGCTCACACAGCTCACTGTGCCTTGGGATCCTGCTCAGGCTTCCCCTGGACATATCATTCCTCACATGTGGTGACCACGGGTGGGTCTGACTGTTCCACTTGGCAGGCCTGACTCTACTGGAGGAGACGGGCTACTTTGCATCCTAGGGTCCAGCGTTGTCTTGGCCAGGGCCTGACATGATGCCAGGAGCAGTCCCTCAAAAGGTGCGTGATTCTTGGTTGTGGATGGCATGGACTTGGTCCAGGGTCTCAGGATCCTGGAAGTCAGTTCTCTCTCCGGCCTTCCCAATGCTCCATGGCTGCATCTTTGCCCATCACTGACGTCCTCAACACCCCCTTGTAGGGCCTGCAGGTTTGCTTGCCCTGTAGCCTTGACTGACAGGTAGCGCTCTTTCCTGTTCCTGCTCAAAGCTGGGGCCACCCACATAACCCAGCATACAGATTGAAACAGTTTATGGGCTACGGGATGTGTGGATCCAGAACTCCCTTTCTCCATAAATAAAAAGCTCTCCAGACAAAACAAAACAAAAAAACAACAAAACAAAACAAACCCCCAATAATCTAATCAGTAAATGGGCAAAGGAACTGAATAGGCACTTCAAAGAAGAAGAAGTACAAATGGTCAACAAATTTATAAAAAAAAAAAAGTTCAGAATCTTTAGTCATTAGAGAAATGCAAGTGAAAACTACACTGAGATTTCATCTTACTCCAGTCAGAATGGCAATCATCAAGAATATAATAACAATAAATGTTGGCGAGGATGCCGGGGAAAAGGTACACTCCTACATTGCTGGTGGAACTGTGTATTGGTGCAACCACTATGGAAAGCAGTGTGAAGATTCCTCAGAAAACTTGGAACAGAACCACCATTTGACCCAGTTATGCCACTCCTCGGTATATACCCAAAGGACTTAAAACCAGCGTACTATAGTGACACAGTCACATCAATATTTATAGCAGCTCAATAATAGCTAAGCTATAGAGCCGTCCTAGGTGTCCTTCAACAGATGAATGGATAAAGGAAATGTGGTGTATATACACAATGGAGAATGACTCAGCCATCAGAAGAGTAAAATGATGGCATTTGCTAGTAAACGGATGGAATTGGACACTATCATTATAAGTGAAATAAGCCAATCTCAAAAACCAAAGGCCAAATGTTCTTGTCTGATATGTGGATGCTGACACACACAATAAGGGGGCTGAGAAAGAAGAATAGGGGGAAAGAAGAACAGCAGTTCATAGGATTAGACAAAGGGGAATGAAGGGAAGGAAGGGGAGGTTAGAATCCAAAAGACAGTAGAATGAATAGGACATAGCTTTCCTATGTTCATATCTGAATACGTGACCAGTGGAACTCCACATCATGTATAACCATGAAAATGGGAAATTATACTCCATGAACATATAATATGTCAAAATATGCTCTGCTGTCATGTACAACTAAAAAGAGCAACAGCAATAATAACAACAGGAAAGCCCTCTAGGCACCATGTTTCCTTCTTGTAGCTGAAATTCAAAATTCTGTAGTTTTACTTTACCGGGGACACCCTTGGCCACTGGACACCCTAAAACATGACTGAGTTGTAGATCCCTGAATCCTTGTTGGGCTCCGTCACCCCCCTCCGGAACACTTGTGATTTACAAAGACCAACAACAGAGGGACTCTTGCTCATCCTGCCCAATCAGCACGATGCCATCGATGCCATGGGCGTGTGTGACATGTGTGTGACACCTGGGCTGGATATCACTGCTGGATATCATGCAGAGGGTGGAGAGGTAACATAGCCCTCAGGCGAAACCATCAATAAATATTGTTTCCCATCTCATGTGAGTGTAAATTTCTCTTTCCTTGTCAGAGTGAAAAAGAACGCATTGGTGAAATCAATGGCCACATACCGGGTACTTGGAGCTGTATTAATTTGATCTACAAAAATGCCTTGCCCGGCACAGCAGCTACAATACATGATGGCGAAGGCTACAATATGTTAAGCCTACACGATTCAGAGGTCATTCTCCCCTGTCCATCCAGTTCCTGCAGAGGGCACGTGGGCCAGTTCAATGGCCTTTAGATAGGGGCTTTATTCTTCAGGTCTTTAAGAATGTCACCAATCTCTGTCATTGTCCCTAGGATGCAGTATTATTTTTTATTTACTATTGTGACCAGTAGTGGGGAAATTTCAAAAGTTCCTGTTTACATTTTTCTCTACAAAGATCCATGAAGGTTATTCTTCAAAAATGCCAAGTGCATCAACTGCTATTGCAGACTCTTAGGTGGATCCACGGACTCAGAGGACCCTCCTGGGTCAAACTTCTCAAGAAGGGCCCCATTTATTACCTGGAGGCTCCAAATCCACTCTGACAGGGGAATTGGGTTAATATATCACATCTTGAAATATCGATACTGAAATCAGATCCTGTGTCTAATAGTCCTCAGAGTGTCTCAGTGAATTCTTTACCCCTGTGTACGTCACTGAGGAAGAGGACCATACGTCCCTCTGGGAGAAGACTGAGGAACTCGTCGCAGTGCAAGCTTGCCACAGTACTGCAGAGTCCCAGCCATTGGAGTTTGGACCTGAATATGGATGCAGGTTTTGGAACTGTACAAGGAATTTCAACTTGTTAGTGTGACCACCCTCAGCCCCCTGATCCTCCGGGTTGCCTTCTTAGTGGTATGGATCATAGCAGCATCTTGGTGGCTGCCTCTTTTTCTCCTACAAACATCATGCACTATAAACCACCCCTGCAGTTGCCCATGGATCAAGCCAGCTTGACTTCCTTTAGGTCTTTCCACGGGACACAGTCCTCTGGTGGCTCTTCTGATCTGTACACGTCAGCTCCAGCATGTCCACTTTCCTCAGCCTCTTTATCTTCCCTGTTTTTTTTTTTTTCTAGGAGAACTCTGCAAACTGCGGGTTCAAGAGAACCTACAAAGCTAACATGTTCAGGGGCATCTATGCAGTTGTCCCCATCCCATGTTTGCAGATCTCAGGTTTTCTCCACTGGCCCTTGATCTTAATATAATAGATCTCCTGTCTGAGCATTCAAATGTGCTGGAGCCTGCTGCTATTCAGTAAAAGGTCATCCTGCTAAGCTTACACACTTAGCCATTAAAGATATAAGGGCAACGTGGTCAGCTGGCACACTTAGCCAGTAATTGCTTGTTTCTCATTCTCCCTGTACAGGACATCAGTGCACTTAGCAGTAACAAGCCACTTCTACTTTCTCTGCAATTACTCTCCCTGTATTTTCCAGTGCCTGGATCATTGGTGCAAAGGTGTTTCTCTCCCCCAGAACATTTCCCTCCACTGAGGTGTTTTCCTTGTCTGAGACCAGTAGAGTCTTTGATGTTTGAGCCACCCTCTCTTTTGTTAATATATAATTTTTAATTGTTGCTATGGACTGTCTTTTTACTACTTACTACTCAGGATTGGGGATACAGTGAATGAAACAGACTAAAATCCTATCGAATATCTGCCTGCCTATTGTCCCAAGCCTATTCTTGGTACCATTGGTGTTGGTTTGGAGTATCTTAAAAGCAGATGCCAAGACAAGATCAAATGTGCAAGAGGTTATTGAGGAAAAGCATGTATGAGGGAAAAAGAGGAGGAAGCTGGATGAGTCATGAGCACCCATCAGAAATATGGCTCAGGTCAGTGTGAGCGCTCCAGTGTTGCTGGGAACTCATTACTGGTTTAAAGAAGCTCCAGTTGAGTACGTTACAGTTCTGGGGGTTAGAGGCCTGGCTAGATAAAATCAAGGTGATGGCAGGACTGTGTTCCTTCTGGAAGCTTCAGGGGAGACTCCACCTTTGATCATATTCAGCTTCTGGAAGTCACCTGCATTCCTTGACATGGGGCCTTTGCTCATCTTCAAGGCCAATAGTCACATCGCTTTGGCCTCTGCTTCCATTGTGACATCTCCTGCTCTGACCTATCTGCCACCCTCTTACATGGGGTTCACCACAATCATCCAGGGGAACCTCCCCATCTCACGGTCCGTGGCTTAATCACATCTGCACAGCTCCTTTTACCACATAAGGTAACATATTCATGAGTTCTGAGAGTAGGACTTGAAGATTTGGGGGAGAGCACTATTTAGCCTGTAATAAGGTATTTTCTCTACAAGGGAGAGTGGGGAGGCAGGAGAATTGACCGTCAGGGTCAATAAACCCAATAGAATGTAGTGGGTTGTTGTGAGGCATAAACAAAACAGTGATCTCATGAATGCCATCTATCCTTACCTATGCCAATGGTGGAACTGTGACTCAGAGGCTTTAATGTGACTGACATTTCTGCATCCTTTCTGGTATACCACATTTCTGGTATATCCACCTTCATGGTGGGGTGGTTAGGACCTCATCTCTGCTGCTTTCTAAGTGAAGACTTACAGACTACCTGGCACTAATATTGTAGGGAAGATTCCTGCATCAGGCGGGTTTAGTGCAAGATGGCCTACAGTCCCTTATGTGCTCAGATTCTGTAATTCTTTGATTTTGACCTAGAGAGAAGTCTACATGATATGAGTGGGGGGGGGTTGGCCAAGGTATTCAGTTCTTGGTTAATAATATGGCTACTGTCCTGCCATCTTGGATTTGTCATTCAACCTGTCTGAACATTGGTTCTGGTCAACTGAGATAATCTTACTTTCTCACTGAATTCCCTATGTGAATGTGGTGATGAGCTAGGAGATAATACATACCCCCATGACAGTAATACATAGACTCCTTCTAAAAGAAAAAAATACTTGGTATGCTCCCCCCATTCATTGTTGACTTGAAATATTTTTATTGTATCATTACTTATGTATTTATAAATATAAATGTAGGCATAAATCCCTTATGTTCATACTTACATAAAAGAATATTCTATAAAAGAATATTAAGTCATAAACTCAATACAAACAAAGCCAGAGAACCAATGAAGTTTAAGCAAAGAAAATAACAAATGGGTCAGATATTTTAAAAATGAAAATGGATTGTTGCTTGCAGTGATACTGGCTGTCATGATGCAGCTTGTTTTGAGTGACAGTATTTGGCCTCTGGTAACAGAGCATAATTTATGCTCTTCTCATTAGATCAAAACAACTAGCACAGTAATTCTTATTTGTAATTATTAACACAAATTTAAGCTTGGGCATTGAAATGATGTGACAGACTCATTTATAAGTAGTTATATTGTTATATGAAATATACTTCCATTATTCATTTTAGGTTGTGAAGATAAAAACTCAGATATTTGAAGTGAAATTTTTAGGGCAAACCAGAGATCTCTGGCAATGCTATCCACGATCAAACACTGAGATAATGAATGTGAATGTGCTCTCTAAAAGTTAAAAGGAGTTAATAGCTGCCAGGAGTCATTACTGAGACAAGATGCCAAGCTACAAACAGCCACCCCAGATCACAAGAAGTACCTTGCTTGCCGCCCCATCTCCTGACAGCAACCTAACAGGTGGGAGGCTCGAATTTCTGCGTCATCTCAGATGTCTTTGGATCTCTGGTCATACCTCTGCTACCTACAGTTCCAGGGGAGCCCACTAGAGTCCAGCAAGGAAGAAGCAAAACACAGGAAGCCAGGAGAGCAGTTTTATTTCTATAGAGGAGCAAGTGGGAGAGGTAACAACCCATACTGAGCAAACCCACTTTTTGGACATGACCCTACTACCTTTCCCGTTATGTGGCTGGGAGGGCAATGGTTTCTCCCCTTTCAGCTGATAACTGGGTCTGACCTCTAGGGGGTCACTTATTATAGAACCAGAATAAATTGATTACAGGGTCTCATGGGAATCTTTGAAACTTTGCCAACAGGTTCACAACACCAATAATGACTTTTGGAAAATTTTTCTGTAGAGACAAAGGGAAGGAGCTTGACGGCTGATGTTTTTCTTTCTCTCTCTTTTCCCCCTTTTTTCTGTTAGATTCATTTTCTCCCTCTATTTTTGTCTTTTCTCTCTTTTTTTTCTCTTGCTGCGACAATTTTCTTTTTTAAGGACATAGATTTTCTAGGTACGTGGACGTGGTGCTTTTTACTATCCCTTTCCCTAGCTATATTACATTTGAGGTTGGTTAACTATGTGACTGCTAAAGGAATAAAATAATAATAAACACATTATTACTTTAAATATTCTTTTGTTTGCATAATGTTTTTAAATTTATAAAATATGACTATATAGATCATGTAATTTGAGCCTCACAATAATCAAAGACACAGTTATTATTTTCTTGTTTTGCCAAGTGGGAAACTGAGTCTCAAGAGTCAAAGGGTGCATCTCCTTCTTCTATCCCATTTCTTTTAACCACTTCCCTTCTGAAGCAACTCAATCTTAGTCAGAAAAATGGACTAGTAATGCGGGAATCTTACAGCCTAGAGTGGGGTGTCAGAGCTTAATCAGATTTACTTCAATATAGTGACTAAATATATCCAATAATCAACAGGAAACTGTGACTCATACTCAGGGAAAAAAAGACAAAACAGTCAAAATAAACCAAATATAAGTGGGCTAAGATAAAGTATTTAGCTGCCAAAGACTTCAAAGTAGCTTGTATAAATATTTTACAATTTAGAAAAAAAAATATTATGACAACAAATCAACAAATAAGAAACCTAAATTAAAAAAAAAAACTTTGTAAAAGAAGAAATGGAAGTTTCTGGAGTTGAAAACTTTAATAATTGAAATGAAAATCATATTTCATAGGCTTAAGAGCAGATTTGAGTTAGCAGAAGAAAGTGTCAGTGAGGTTGAAGATAGGCCAATAGAAAGCATCCGATCTAAATTAGAGAGGAACAAATAGAAGAAACAGGAGAAGACCCTGAGAGATCTATGAGATAGCATCAACCACACCCAGATACACATAATGGATTTCTAGAAGAAGATAAAGTGCCAAAAACATTATCAAGGAACAGTGCCCCCGAAACTTTAAATTTGATAAAAAAAATATTACGAGTACTTATCTAAGAAATCCAAAGAGCCAAGAAAAATATGGACGAAGAGCCAACCCACTGTAACATCTAAACACATTATAACCAAACAGTGGAAAGCCAAAGGCTAACAGAAAGTCTTGAAAAATCATAGGAGAAAAATGACTCATCCCATACCAGGGAGCAACAGGATGACTAACTGCCAACTTCTCAATAGAAACTATGGAGAGCAAGAGGAAGTGGGTGGACACGGTCTAAGGGCTAATGAAAATGTTGTTAGTGAAGAGCTCTGTTTCCAGCAAAAACACAATTCAAAACTGGATGCGAAGGAAAAACATTCCCATAAAATAAAGACTGACAAATGTGGACCTATATCTCAAGAAATGCTGAAAGAAGCCCTTCAGAGTACAAGCAGATGTCACTAAGGATAGGTAAAGCCCACAGGCAGAAATGAGGAGGACTAGAGATGATAAACATGCAGATAAACATAAAAGACTATGAAATATATTTCCTTTCCTTTCCTCTTTCTTTCCTCCCTCTCTCCCTCCCTCCCTTCCTTCTTTCCTTCCTTTCTTTCCCTCTCTCTCCCCCTCTTCCTCCCTCCCTAACCTCCCTCCCTCTTTTTTTATTTTGAACCCAGGGGCACTCAGCCACTAAGTCACATCCCCAGCTCCTTTTTTTTGTTTGTTTAATTTAGAGATAGGGTCTCTCTAAGTTGCTGAGGTTGGCTTTGAACTTGTGATCCTCCTGCCTCACCTTACGGAGCTGCTGGGATTACAAGCATGCACCACCATGCCCAGGTCTTCTGGTTTTATAAATCAATAATTGTGTACTACATTTTGGGTATATAACATAGGTACATATGAAAATGATGCACAGATGAAGTGTTTATTAAAGCAAAACTTATATATTTTATCAATTAAGACAATACTAACCTGAAGTACGTGGTGATGAGTAAAGATGCAATTTATAATCTGTAGATCAAGAAAATAATTGAAGAATACATTGTTAACAAATTAAATGAAGAATTAAAACAAATGAATTAAAACTAGGGGAGGAATTAAGGAAACAAAGAAGGACACAGAGGGGAAAGAGAGATTTATAATATATAGAAGAGCAAAATGCCAAAGAACAAATGTGAAACCAAACATAATAATTATGTTAAAGTTGGATTAACTATACAATCTAATGAAAAGGCAAATTTGCTAGTTTTTTTTTAAAAAAAAAAGCAAGATAAATCTGATACAACTACATACCGTCCATGAAAGACATTTCATATTTAAAACACAACTAATTTGAGAGTAATAGAATAGAAAAACATACAGCATGCAAATAATAACTATATGAGAACTGGAGAGGCTGTATTAATAGCAGACATAATAGATTTTAAATATTAGTAGAGAAAGAGAGGGACATTTCATAACAACGAAAAGGCCAATGTACCAGGAAAATGTAACAGTTAAAAATGTATATGTGTTTAACGAAAAGCTTCCAAGTATGCTACTCTAAATCAGATAGAACTGAGAACTGGAGATTTGAGCACCATACTCATAATATTTGAAAGCAGCTGAATGGAGACAGCTGTGGTTTGAATACTGTTTGAGTTTGTCCCCCAGAGATTTATGTGCTGGAGGATGGGTTCCCAGGGCAATGGTACTGAGGTGGTGGGACCTGTGAAGGTATAACAAGAGGGCCCTCACCAGAGCTGAGCACAGGACAGGGCCATGCAATTGAACCTCCAGAACTCTGAGTTAACCAAGCCTCTTTTCTTTACAAAGTACCCAACCTCAGATGTTTTGTTATGACCCCCCCAAAAAATAGACTAAATAGAAAGCCACTCAAGATATAGACATCTCGAACAACTTTATCAGTCCATGTGACTTAACTGATTTTAATAGAAAATGTCAACTAAAAAAAAGAATACACGTTCTTTTCAAGAGCACAGGAAAGGCCATATGTTAGGACTTAAAATACATTCCAATAAATTAAAAAAGACAGAAATTATTCTAAGTGTTTTCTGTCTATAACATAATTAAAAGAAAATGCAACAAATTTGATAAATTAGGAAAGAATTTGAAATTAAGCAAAATAACTTCTAAATACAGGCCAAAAGAGACTCCAACAGGGGAAATTAGAAAATATTTTCAACTGGTTTGAAAAAGAAAAAGAAAGCATGATATATGGAAATGTATGGGAGGCAGCCAAATCCATACACAGAGAGAAATAGCTTTCGTTGTCCATATTAGGATGCTGCTGGGTAAGCAGACGTGAGCCCGCTGATGGGCAGAAGAGAAGAGCCAATGAGAACACCTGAAGGAGCAGAAGAGAGACCTTGAAGTTCATGGGGTAAAAGTCTAACTTGGTTCCATTTGGGACCACATGGCCTCCTGGATGGAATTGAAGGAAAGCAGGACTGGGATGTGTGGTTTGTTTTGGGGGTGCTTTCTGGAGGGGCAGGTTAGGAGCAGAGTGGCACAGTCTACCAGCGGACACGGCTGTGTGTGACATCCCTGACATCACACACGCAGGTCTGCCCCACATGGAGGGGTCTGTCTGCTCCCTTCTAGTTGAGTTGAGAAGTCATAGGAAGCATGAATGTTCAGCCCCCACTTTCCCTGGCTTAGCCCACACAAATTTACCCAGAAACAATTTACTATTGTTTCTTTTAAGCCATAGAATTAAAAATAGTTTAGGCTAGAGAAGCCCTTTGGAACTACGGTCACATGCCACAGAATGACATTTGACCCAACTAGAGAGACTACGTACCCAATGGTGGTCCCCCAAGGTCATACAGAGTGGGAGACTCCCATCACTTGGGAGTAGCAGTGGCTGTGGTCACTGTTGTAGTGCAGTGTAGTGCATCCCCACACACTTGTCACCATGCAGCAGGGGACAAGCCCTCTGTGCTGCCCATCATAGAGGAGCACAGCACAGACAATTATGCACAGGACATGATTCTTGGTGACAGTAATAAATGACTATGGTGCAGATTGATGTATTCGCTATACTTTGAATCTTTATTTAAGTGTGCACTCATTCTGCTTATAAAAAAAGTTTGACCATAAAACAGCCTTAAGCAGATTCCTCAGGAGGAATTCCAGAAGAATACAGGGATTGTCCTCATAGAGGCTGGCAGCTCAGTGCAGTTATTGACCCCGAAGACCTTCTAAAGGGACAAGAAGGGACATGGGAGACAGTGATATTGACAATCCTGTCCTTGTGTAGCCAAGCTAATGTGTGTGTCTTATCTTGTTTTTTTTTTTAGCAAAAAAAAAGTTAAAACAAAAAAATTAAACATAGAAAAATAATTTTGTTCAGCCATACATGGTGTTCGTGTTTTAAGCTATGTACTCATACAAGACTTAAAAAGTTAAAAAAATTAAGTTTATAAAGTTACAATAAGCTTAGTTAATTTATTAATGAAGGAAAACAAATATTTTTTGTACTAGGGATGGAACGAACCCTCAGTGGTGGCTGCTCTACCACTGAGCTACATTCCCAGCCCTTTTAGTTTTAAATTTTGAGAGGCAGTCTTGCTAAGTTGCTGAGGTTGGCCTTGAACTTGTGACCCTCCTGCTTCAGCCTCCCAAGTTGCAGGGATTACAGGCGTGTGCCCCCACACCTGGCTGATTTTTTTTTTTTTTTACACATTTGGTGCAGCCTAGGTTGCAGTGCTATAAAGCGTACAGCCGAGCACAGTGTGTCCCAGGCCTCTGTGTTCTCTCCCTGCTTAGTCACCGACTTCAGTTCACCAGGGCAACTTCCAGTCCTGCAGCCGCCACTCATGGGAAGTGTCCTATACAGGTGTCCTGTTTTCTGTCTTTTATCCTGTGCTTGTACTTTTCTACTTAGGACAC